TTTTACTCTCCCTTTATCAAATTTCATTAAATCTTTATAAAAACACCAGTCATCATATCTGATCATTTCCCTTCTATAAAATGCTTCATGCGATGAAGCCCAAAAGGGTATATTTTGTGTAATCTTACATTTATGTTTTTTCCAAATTTTTAACAATGCTCTCCTTACACAATGATTATTAAACAATTTATTACTTTTCTCTTTTCCATAAAGCAGATATGCATGATATCCAAATACTAATCCCTCCCCTTCTAATTCGAGCAATCTTTTATTTTCTAATTTAATCCAATTTTTGATCCACACCAAACCACAAGCATCAAAATAGAGCTTGAGGTTAGGTACAGATAATCCACCCTTTTCCCTTGTATCTTGTAAGACTTTTAATTTTATCCTTGGTTTCTTTCCCTGCCAAATAAACTTTACAATGTCCCTATTCCACTCTTTAAAGGGTTCTTTGGTTAAGATAATTGGCAATGTTTGAAAAAGGTATAACATTTTGGGCAGGGCATTCATTTTGATCACAGCAATTCTACCTAAAAGGGACAAATTTAATTTGTTCCACCTTACTAAATTATTCTTTATTTCTTTCCATAGTGGTTTATAATTGTTTTCAAATAATTCATTTGTTTTTTTTAGTAATTTGAATCCCTAAAGATTTCACTTTTTTCCTTATCTCTATCCCTACTCTTTCCTGCAGTTTCCCTTCTTCACTAGATTTCATATTTTTTGTAATAATCGCTGACTTTCCTTTATTTATTTTGCAACCTGTGATTTCACCAAATGCTTCCAATATTCCCATCAATAAATTCACCTTTTCAGTTGGGTCTTCCAGGTTAATCACTAGGTCATCAGCGAATGCCCTAATTTTATAATTATAGTTTTTAATTTTAACTCCTTGTAGATTGCTTTCTCCTTTTATTCTTCTAATTAATAATTCAATTACTACAAGAAAAAGTAAGGGGGACAGAGGACAGAAAATTTATGAAAATCAAAGAGCACAGATACTTATAAATAATGACAAAACTCATGCAGTTAAAATTGCGAGAGGGACTAGGCAGGGATGCCCTCTATTCTATTTAGGATTATGAATTAGAACCAAGCCATAAATAATTGGTTAATAAGTTGGTTAATTAGTTGTTTAAGTTGGTTTATATGTTTATAAGTCAATTTTCAACAGCCAGTGGTGCCCTAAGGCAGTGGTCCCCAACCTTTTTATTGCCGTGGACCGGTCAACGTTTGATAATTTTTCTGCAGCCCACTGGAGGGGGGGTCGTGGTGTCACGTTGATTATTAAATCAAAACAGATGAGTGGTCTCCAACCCCCTGTCCGTGGCCCAGTACTATTTGTTCTGCGGACCGGTACCGGGCCGCGGACCGGGGGTTGGGGACCACTGCCCTAAGGAACTCAGAACAAATATTATTTGGCAAAAATACATAACATTCAGGATTAAAGAGGAAAATATATTTTGCAATCCATTAATACATTCAAATAAAACAATAGCAATGCAACAAATATAGGATGCAGTCAATATGACAATGAAATCATTAAATAAGAGAGAAAAATCAAAATTAATAGGTCCCCAATGAACACTACTAGCCGTCAATGCTAACATTAGTCTTTCTTCATTTTAATGGGCCAAAGCAGACTGGCTTTTAAAAAAAGATTCAGAAATGGCAATGTTTTCTCACTAGACTAAGGGCCGATACAGACAGTCTATTTGGGGTGGCTTTCGGCTGCCCCTGGAAGCAGCAGATCTGGGCTGTGGCAACCACACGCCATGGCCCCGATCCTCCTTTTTGTCACCCTTTCAGCCGCCATGGCTTTTTTGTGCCCTTTTGGAGCAACGTGTATGCACGTTGCACCAAGAGGGCATCCTGACTCCATGCATCATGCAGTCAACTGCGCAGTGTCAGGATGGCATTGGGGTAGAGTTGCCCTGCTCCAACTCCACCTCCAAGCCAGCCCTTTGTGCTGGTCTGCATTGGCCCTAAGTGTTATACAGTGGTCCCTCCACATTTGCTGGGATTAGGGTTGAAGGACACCTGTGAATGTGAAAAAATTGCAAATAAAAAGACACTATTCTTTTTACCTGAGAGAACACCTCTCTAGGAATTTCTAGTCCTCCAGTGCAACTCTGTGGTCAATGTCTGCCAGAGGTTGATCACAGAATCATGCTGGAGGACCTACAAATACCTAGAGAAGTGTTTTCTCAAGGAATATCTAGGTTCACCTTTTGGCAGAGTCACTTATTGGCAGAGTTGTGTTGAAGGACAGAGAGATTCCTAGAGAAAACATATTAATCAAAACCACGAATAATCAAATCTGCAAAAGTCAAAGCTGCAAATGTGGGTGGCTAACTGTAGATTATAAATTGCCTGTACATCATAGCTGCAGAAACATCTGCTAATATGTGGGTTAAACTAAAATCTGTTTTGGCACAGATAAAAGGGGGTTAAACCAGTGATTGAGAGATGTTTCTCTCTTTCTCTCTCTAGTCTTTAAGGGGAAATACCAAATATAACTTCTAAACAATAGTAATTATTCAATGTTGCAATGTCAGACTATAGGGAGGAAGAAATCAAGCATGAACATCTCATAAGCAAAGTGATTTACCTACAGCTGGACATGCTGTATCTGGGCAACATCCATATTGACATGGTGATTGTCAGGTCAAGTACTCCGTACTGTCTCTCTCAAGTGAGTGCTTGTCTCAGAGATTATTATATTTTCATTAAATCAAGTGTCTGGTGACCTATTTAAGGACAGCAAGTGCCCAAATGAGTACACCCATAGTCCAAACAAACACGGAATAACCATGGTCATATACAAAGGGGCCATTCACAGTATGTTATAAACCAGTTTAAAAGTGGGTAGTTCACACTGGCACTGGGTTTTGCACATCCAAA